ACTTCCAGACTGCCCTTTTTAAGCAAGATGTTCCATCCTCACCAATTATTACTGCATCTAGTTCATTTCCCATGGACACGTGTTATAATTTGTATTTATATACTTTTTTTAAATTTACTTGTTATTGTCTGTCTCCTCCATGACTGTAGGTTCCACCAGAGCAAGAGACCATGTCTAGGGCACAAAAAGCCCTTCATAAGTAATTCTTATGTGAGTAAGTGGTGGACAACAGACGTAGCACAAAGAGCAAAGACAGTGTAGAAGAGCATTAATTCCCTTCACCACCATATTTATATTGTCTCCGTGTAGTCAAAACATTTTAGATCTGGCTCCCTTGCAGTATATCCAAGGATGCTAGCTTGTTGAGGCTGTAAATATCGCTAATGAGGAAGGCTCAAGTCTGCATGTGTTTGCCTTGTTCTACACAGCGTTCGGCACAGCCTCGAGCACAGATGGGCGCTTCATAAATATTACTGAAAGATAACACAGGATTATTTAATACCTCCTCATGGGGTGGAGACAGACCTCGGGCCACAAATGTATGTTTGAATGTGCTTTACTTCTCAAATCATTTGAACCAAAATGATTTCAGCAACACAAACTCATCTGCAACCACAAATCAGACACATTCAGAATGACAAAGCCCCAAAAGAATGTCATTTTCAAGGCTGAAACTATTATTCTGGCGTAAATGGAATCCTTGTTTTAGCGACACGGTAAGGGTAGAAATGAAAGACACTGAAAGTCTTCCCTCAGGGAACAATGATTATCTGTTAACAATAAAACTTTGTCTGAATAATTCATCAGTTTCAAGGGTGCAGACCCCCCTTATTCTGGAATCCCAGGAGTTTAGGCAAGTGCACCATTTAATGTTTCCCAACTACTCAGCTGTCATTCTTCCAGGGCCTGGCAATTCTGGGCACATTCCTATGATTTTATTAATGTTTTAAAAAATAACCTACATGGGAAACTAAATTTTGAAGCTGCATTTATTTTACATAAGAACAAAGGAGCTTATAAAGTGTCCATCATGAGAATCCACCTGGGAGCTACACAACAGATCAAATACCCAAAACAAATCACCACGTCAGAGCCCCACAGAATTCTGAATCCCAACCAGCAAGCATGAATAATCCTTTTAAATGGTCACTTACACATCAGAACAGGTCCTTTGTGAAATCTCTAAGCAAGGCTTCTGACCGAAACAGATTTATTGGGAAGGGGGGATAAAGTGAAATCAAGAACTACTAGGAAATTTCCAAGAGAAAAGAAGGCAAATGGTTTTTGTTGTCAGAATGAAACCAGCCTCTCCTGGGGCCAGAGTTTGGAAAGTTGCCGGCTACCCCACAGGAAAGTTGGCTAATATTCTCAACTGGTTTCTCAGGGACTATCCTGATCAAGTTGTAGTTACTGGGCAGATGCAATAGCAAATTAAATCAGAAGAACCTAATTTCAAATCCTGGGTGTTTTCTTATTAGCTGTGCAACCTTATGCAAGTCACTTAACTTCTCTGATATCTGGTCAACATCTTTAGTATGTTGAGAGTAATGCCTACCCAATTACCACACATTATTGCAAAGATCAAGTGAGATCAAATATATGGAAGTTGTACTAAATTATAAGATTCTGTATAAGTGGAAGGTTATTATTAACTATACTCCCACAATATTAGATAACTTAACTCTCAGGAGCTATATAATTCTGCATTCTTAGTTTCAAAAGATGGTCCATTTTTGCCTGTTTTCTACAGTTTTACTCCATTTTTTCTTTTGAAAGATAGGACATAAGCAAAGGCAAATGGGGGGACAAAACAAACCCACCATGGAATCCTACAGCCTTCTCTTTGGTGCTGCGAGGCAAGAATTTAAAACTGAGGCTGTTCATCATCATGGATTTGATATAAACATCACCTGAAGGAAAGAAGTAAAGTTGGGAAGATCCAAAAGGTATGTGACTCTTTTTCCATCTTGTGGAAGAATACAAAATCAATTTACAAAAATCAATTATATATCTAATTACTAGCAGCAAACAACTGGAAAATTAAACCTATGAAACTATTCCATTTACAGTATCATCAAGATATATAAAAATACTCAGGGGTAAATTTAAGAAAAATCGGATAAGACCTCTACACTAAACTATAAAACGTATGTGTAAGAAATTAAACTAAAATGTATGTACAAGAAATTAATGAAAACTAAATAAATTGAAAGATATACCACATTCTTGGACTGGAAATCTCAATATTATTAAAATGCAATTCTTCCCAAATTGCTCTATGGACTGAACATAATCCCAATCAAAATCTCAACAGGCTTTTGTAGAAATTGACAAGTTGATACTAAAATGTACATAGAAATACAAAGGACTTAAGACACTTAATTTTTGTATTGGCCAAAGAAGGAAAAGAGTTGGGGGAGTCGCCTGATTTCAATATTTACTTTAAAACTTCAGTAATCAAGACAATGTAATACTGGCAGAAGGAAAGACAAATAGATCAATGGAACAGAACAGAGAATCCTAAAACAGATCCACATATATATGGTCAACTGATTTTTAACAAAGGCACCAAGGGGAAAGGAAATCCCTTTCAATAAATAGGATTAGAACAAATGGATATGGGTAAAAGTGAACTCTGACCCCTGCCTTACACCACACACAAAAATTAATTCAAAATCAACAAGATTTCAATGTAAAAATTAAAACTACAATGATTCTAGAAGAAAACTACATAGGGAAATCATCTTTCTGACCCTGAGGTAAGTAAAGGTTTCTTTTAGAGCACAAAAAATTATATACTAACCATACAAGAAAAAAATAATAAATTGAACCTTATTAAAATTTATAAGTTATGCACATCAAAAGATGGCATTAAGAATATGAAAAGGCAAGCACCAGGCAGGGAGAAAATACTTGTAATACATATATCTCACAAAAGCCTTATTATCCATGATATATAAAGAGTTTCTTTAAATCAATAACAAAAAGACAAACAACCCAATTTTTTGGTTGAGCAAATACATTAAAAAGTTACACAAATGAACAGTAAGTATATGAAAATGAGCACAACATCACTAGTGATTAGGACGATATAAATCTAAACCAAAATGAAATGATATTTTACACTCACTAGGATGGCTAAAATAAAAAAGACTGACAACACCAAATTATAATGATGACATGAAGCATCTAGAACTCTCAAAGATTGCAAATAAGAGCATAAAAATGGAAAATAATTTGGCAGTTTCTTGAAAAATTAAACATACATCAACCCTACAATCAGTATTCTAATCCCAGATATTTACTCAAGAGAAATGAAGATGTGTCCACAAAAAGACTTGTATAAAAAATGCTCATAGCAGCATGATTCACAATAGCTAGTGACTGGAAACAACCCAAATGTCCATCAACAGGAGATTGGAAAAATACATTGTGATATATTCATACATTGGTATACTGCACAGCAACAAAAAAGAATGAACTATTAACATATGCAATGACTGTGGATGAATAAAAATATATTTATATTAAATGAAAAATAAACAGTAACAAACAAGTACATAGTATATGATTAGATTGATGTGAAATTCAAAACAGGCAAAACCTAAATATGGCAATCAAGATTATGACAATGGTTGCCCATGGGGGATCAGGAGACACAAGGGAACTTTTTGGGGTGATGAAACTATTCTATATCTTAATCTGGGTGGTTGTTACACAGATGTATACATTTTTCAAAACTCGTTGAATTGTACCCTTAAGATTACTCATTTCACTGTGTGTAAATTTTACTTCATGAATGAATTCATAACACCATGAGGAAATAACCACACCAATCCAGAAGGTGGGATTCTGCAGGACAACTGCTCAGGTCTCCTCAAAAATCATTGTCATTAAATACAAGAAAAAAAGATTGTGCTAAATTATAAAAGGCTTAAGGGACATAGCAACCAGGTGCAATGTATGGTCTTGGATGGGATGCTGCTTTGGGCAAACGACCCATTAAAGACATTTTGGGGACACCTGGGGGGGAAACTTGAATATAATCTTGGTTTTAGATGACATAAAAATGTATCAATACAAAGTTGGGGATTGTTGATGGAAAAGAAAAAACAAGTTACAAAGCAGTATATACTTTTAGATCTCTTTTTGGTATTACAAAAAGACAACTGTGTTATGTATTACACATATTACATATTATATTATGTATATTATATATGATTTATAATTATATATGTATACTTATATGTATAGAAGGAGATCCAATAGCAAATACATGTTTTCTATTAACATAGGTAACTCAGGGAGAGAGGTATGTTTCATTTACTTATTTATTTGTTGTATTTTCTAACTTTCCACCATGCACAAGTACTGCTTCCATAATAATACATGTTGCGTGAAAATATTAGACTCTGAAATTCCTTGTTTTACAAGACAAGGTAAAAGATGGTAAAGATGGGTAGGGCAAGGAGGAAAAACCCTAACACTTTGATGGACTAATTGAATATCCTGTTGGGCACATCTCATTCCTTCTCACAACAAACCTGCAGTGGATCATCCTTATTTTTGCAGACCTCATAAGGATACAAGCCAGCAGTTTAACAAAATATTATCTGACCTAAAAACCCATGTTCTTTCCACCTCACTTACACATCCCATTTTATTACTAAACATTTAATGAAGTATTTATCATGTACCAGGCACTCTGCTAAACGTTTTACATGAAATCACCTCACTCCTACCTCCTAACAACCCACGTAAGGATGGTACTATTATTACCCTCATTTTAAAGATAAGAAAACCAAGCACAGAGATCAAATAAGCCTTCAAGTTCCCACAACTAAGAGGTGGCAGAACCAAGACTCCAGTTGAGCCCGCCTGATTGTCCATGTTCCTTCCCAGGCCAGCATCCACGCCTAAGCCCCACAAGTTCCCGACAGTGAGGAAGGACGAGGCCCGGCGGGCTGCCAGGAACTTCTCAGGGTGGCACCCTTGCTTACCTGTCCAGGGCCGTGCTGGTGGGCATGCTCCTCCCAAAGCCTCGGACCCCCATCTGACGGAAATATGGAATGCAAGAGAGGTTGGCAGCAATGATGGCCAGGGAGTCGGACGGGCTCACAAAGAAGCCGTTTTGGCCTAGGATCATGTAACGATCCTGTGGGAAAGAGAGTGGAAATGATCAGACAGAGGCGCCTGCTGCCAGCATGCCCGTAAGCGCCACTTTACTGCCATCGGATATTCAAACAATCTAAAACAATTTGAATGAGGCCAAACAGGGCCCGGGAAACCTTTTTTTAAATCCCTGAATATTGTAGGCCCCAGGACCTTGACGCAACTAAGAACGTGTCCCACCTGTTGGAACGTGGGTGACGACCTCAGGCTTCAGGAGGCCCCACATGCTAATTCACACTGTTCCCCAAACATAATGGAAAACAGGAGTTATTGCTAAAACAGCTGGTTCCTTAACATGGTGCTTTCAACAAAACCAGCCATAAACAGAGATTTATTGCATGAATATTTTTTAAAAAGAAATAACTTCTTCGTAACATAATGTTTACCAGAAACTAAGAACAGTAATGGCTATTAAATTGCAATGCTTATTAAACAGAAGAGCAGACACAATGTCAGTTAGGGTTCATATGCCCCATACATGTCAGCCCCAGATGTGTTCATTAATTCTCTGGTTTCCAATACTTGGTTCATTATACGGTGAAAGGTTCAGCAGGCAAAAAACATTTCTACTTACCCCATCAGCATCAAAGGCAGCTCCAAATCCATATTCCCCTCCTTTCATAGCTTCCAGAAGGGTCGTTGCATATGTCAGGTTTGGGTCAGGATGCTGCCCACCAAAATCTTCCAGGGGAACACAGTTTATTGCAGAATTGGCTGGGGCCCCCAGCTCATCGCACAGGACTTTTCTCACATAGGGTCCCATAACTAAAAAAAGATACACAGAAATGTGAAATCTTTAAAAATCCTCTTCCCTCTCCTGCCCCCCGCGCTGCACCCCCAAGAGTGTTTTGTTCTGGTTAGAACAAGGATGGCAATTTAATAGCACCAAAAAATCAGTGAATTCTAAAAGCTTTCTCAAGACACAACAGAGAATAATGTTCACTTCTATTTCTATTCATTGAGCATCTCCTACATGCCAGTTAGCATGTTAGGCATAGAGAAGATGTATTCAATAGCCCAATTACATGAAACTTTCCTCCAAAACTTTTCTAAAATGTCAGAAAGAAATCAACTGCTTAATAATGATTCACTGTCTGTTGATTTTTATGTATTAAAAGCTTTAGCTAAATATATGCAAAAGTACTAAAAGGCTCTAGCAATGTTCTTTGTCTCTGCAATCTTTGTAACTCTGCCAAGAGTATAACTAAACACTGTAGACCGCTGAAGCATCGAAAACTAAGCACATTTTAGAAAATAAATGCTGAGGAATAGTCTTTTCCAATTCAACACACATTTATGGATTGCATAACATGAAATTCCTATGTTAGAAATGGAGGGGATCATATTCAAGAGACTCAAAGCACACAGTTGGGCTGGGCTCTTAATCTAGTAGAGGGGCGAATCAAATCTACCAGTGAGTGACTGCAATGGTAAGACAAGTGCTATTCAATGTGCATTTATAAAATCATCAGGTCAAATGGCTTAAGAAAAACAATGACCACAGGTAAGGCTTCCAGAAGGAGGCCTGCCCAGCATTCATATCCCCTTCCTCTAGTAAGAGCATTTTGGGTTTCCTTTGATGAGCCAACCCCTTTCTCATCTCAGTTCAGTGAGCTGGGTATGGCTAAATCCCACTTCTCCCAGGACTGGGGAGGTGACCTAGATCTGTCCAATCAGCGTCCTTCATTCCTCTGCCAGGGTGATTGATTCAGAGGTGGACATATCGTACAAGCTAGACAGTGAGGCTCAAACCCAGAAATATTACTCAAACTATTTAGAAAGAGAAGCTTTCTTTCCTCTGGCCAGATAATGCTTAGTAAAGAATCTAAAAGATCCTTTTCTGGGAGATATGACTAGCCTAATGGGATAGAACAAAACAGCCCACCTGGAAGATCTTGAGGCCCATGAAGGGTAAGCTCCACACATGGGCTCAGAGATCCCAATCAATTTTTACTGCCTCACCCCTAAACATGCCAGAGAGCCCAGGATCACCAAACTTCTGAGGAACACATTTAACATGAGACTAAAACAGAGTAGAGGGCAACCTGGAGGAAACAAAAACTATACAGAGAGAAGAAAATTTTTAAAGTATGTATCAGTAATATCCTGATAGAGATCAACAAGATATGGTAGAATGGCTAAAATTGAAAAGACTGACAATACCAAGTGTTGGTGAGGACACAGAGAAACTGGAGCCCTCATACATTCCTGGTAGCGCGAATGGTACAACCACTATGGAAAACAGTTGGGCAGTTTCGTATAGTTATAAATTTACTTATCATATGACCCAGCAATCCCACTCCTAGGTAGTTATCCAAGACAAATGAAATCATATCTCCCTACAAAGACTTGTTCACAAATGTTTATAGCAGCTTTGTTTGCAATGGCCAAAACCTAGAAATAACCCAAATTATATGAACTGGTGAATGGATAGACAAACTGGTACATCCCTATAATGCAATACTACTCAGTAATAATAAGGCATAACTACCAATACATACAACACCATGAATGCATCTCTGAAACATTATGCTGAAAGAAGCCTGAAGAAAAAGGCTACATATTATATGGGGCTTTCTGGAAAAGGCAAAATTATGCAGACAGAGAGCAGATGAGTGATTGCCAGGGGCTAAGTGTAGGAGGATGGATTTGATTTCAAAGGGCCACAAGGGAAATTTTTGAAGTGAGGGAAATATTCTGTATCTTGATTTTCATATTGGTTGCATAACTTTTTGTATTTATCAAACTTCTTCCAACTGTATACCTATAAGGTATGAATTTTACTGCATATATATAAATTATACCTCAGCAAACCTAACTTATAAAAAAGAAATATGGCATTCATGAAACATGAATATGAAGCTATTTTTAAAAAAAGATTATTTGGTTGGAGGGGATTGGGAGAAATTAAAAATATGATAGTGGAACTGAAAAACTTAATGGAACAGGAGCCCTGAAGTTTTCCAGAGCATGCCAATAACTGAAAATACATACATTGTGTGAATACCTACAAACCCAACCTTCCTCATAATCCCAGAAATCCAACATGGGTCACAATCTCCTTAACATTTCTTGCCCACCAAACGGTACAAGCTGACAAGCTTACCTCCGTGCATAGCATCAACTCGGATCTTCAGTTGGCCAGGCCCAGCCAGCAAACTTTTGATGGCGTTAAAGTCAAAGATGGTCCGAAGGAGGTTGAGATAGATATCCACTGGGTCCACTATCTCCACTAAGGATAGGAAAGCAAAGGGAAACATCAATAACTATGACCATGAAGAATACTTGGAAGTGTGAAAAAGAATCACTACCCTAATATATGAATCTCTGATCAAAATCCCATCATAACCCCACACATTATGTAGGAAGCAAAGTGTCCATTTATAGACAAAATTACAAATTAAGACACAGTAAGATGCTACAAACCTTTCAAGTTATATGAGTGTAATTAATATCAAGTTATAACTTCTCCTTTGCAAGTGAAAAATCTACCACAAGAATAGAGTAGTTAAAACTGTGTCCTGTTATCTCTATTCCCACCTTCTTTCTGCCACCTCCCTCCAAAAAACTGCACCCATCTCAATCCTGAGACGCATCTTGGCGTACTCAGTGGGCTCTCCTACGGGGTTGGCCAAAGAATGACTCAGCTGGAGTGAAACAAATCAAGGAGTGACTCAGCAGTGACTCCTGTTTTCCAAATGCCATTGTGCCGACCAAACCCAGGTTCAGAATTAGTGATGAAGGATACATTCCTCGGTGTGTGTGAAGTCTCTTGTGTGCCCAATCTAGAACCAATTTCAGGGTGAGTGCCAAATACTTAGAAATCCTCATTAAACACAAATGTTCTCCAGTGACGGGAACCACCCAATGAGTAGGAAGCCAAAACAAGCCTTTTCTATTTATTTGACAAATAAATAAAACCCAGAATGCATTACATTTTTCAAACTTCGCAATCATTACATAATCATACTCAGAAAGTACTTTTCCTAGAAAAGTTCTTACTTGAGTTTTAGATACTAAGATTTGTCCATGAGCCCAGCTTTTTAAATTTGTAGTTAAAATTTGAAACTTATATGTATTGTTTTTCAAAGTTTTCTAATACATACTACTTTGGAATCCTGAAATACTTAAACATGCACTAAGAATATTAACAATCCACCTTTAATAATTTTCAGGAAACCCAGGTGCAATATTTAATGAATGAGATTTTAATATGTAATATGAAACTTCATCTGGTCAAATATACATCAAAAATATTTTTCCTTGCACTTAAATCAATGTAGTATGTGTGTCCACTCAAATATAATATAATTACTTTTTAAGGAATACAGTTTTTAATCATCTTTTGACATAAAGAGGATATTAACCCTTAAAACAAATTAATTAAAAATTAATCTATATGAATGCTCTACCTTAAAATGGTTAAAATAATAAACTTTATGTTATGTATATTTTACCACAAAAAAGTATTAGTCTACAAAATAAAAGGTCATGTCATGAATATATTAAAAGTTTTACTCATTCTTTAATATAGGATAATGTTTTGGGCAATTTCAGTCTGGTACTTTAATTCTTGAACCACTTGCCTAAATACATAGGCCAAACAGGAATGTTAAAAACAATAAAGCAAATGAAATTCAGTGAAATTTGAGAGTTCACCTTACAAAATTCATGCTCTTGACCTTTTAAGGTGAAATACCAAGAACTTATTTGTTTCCAATTAACCTAAGCCCTGCTCAACATTTAAAACAGCATGAACAAAGCACATAAATTATCCCAAACAATTATCTGCACATTCTTTTGGGGGGCCAGGGAATCTCTCTACCCACCTCCTGGTATCCGAAGCATTTTTTTTTAAAAACTCATCAAATTAGCAATGTGGCCACAGCAATGGGCCTGAATCTGAGCTCACCAAAGACCTGGGCCTCTTGGACAACTAAACAAAATTGTGAAGATACCAAAAATAAATAAATAGTTAATTAATAAAACTTCTTGATGGTAATGCCTGATTTTCCTCAGTTGTCTTATTGTCCAGCCCTTCCAAACATACATAATCAAGCACATTTAACTCACTTCATTTAATATAATATCCTTCGCTTTCAGCTGTCAAATCATTGTGTCCCGTGTATGTGTACGCATGTGCACACGCTTTCAACTAGATTAATAAATGCAGGTTTCCACGGATTCCAGTAAGTATCACATGGCTTTGAATTAATTTCTGCTGAATAGCTAAGTAAGCAATGGGCTCAAAATCTTTTAAGAAAAATGTAATAGAGTTGTCCCAACACTTCGACCCTGAACAGTTCGTTTCAAGCTCCTCTCTGTGCCTATAATACCATGTTGCCATGAGCCAGGTACTTCATCTTTTCAGCTAAGTCAAATTGCTTGTACAATATGGATATCATCTTAACACAAACTCCATTTAAGCTTATAGGGACACCAAAGGAGTAAAAAAAAAAAAAGTTAACTTTTTTGCTACTCGTATGCCTTCTAGAAAACAATAACAGGATAAAATAGAGGTGGGAAATGATATGCACATAAATGGCATTAATGTTGTTACATGGTTCAATATTAATCTATAAAATAAAAGGTTATACTCTGAGTATTTTAGAAATTTTATTCACTCAACAATACAGGATAGTTTTTTTGGACAATTTTATTCTGGTTCTCTCATTTTTGAACCACCTGCCTAGGTCCATTGGGTACTTATTGAACTCATTTGTTAAATTTCCTAACACGGCGCTTGGCAGAGAGCGGGCAATCAGTAACTGCACTGAATCAAGATGAACTGCACGGTTCTACCTTCCATGGGAAACTGCAGCCCCACTGCCATGCTGGCTCTCCTCTTTATTACCTAAGGTATTTGGGCAGCTTCACCTTAAGTGCTCAGAAAAGACACATTTTGGCAATTCAGAGCCTATTTTTGGAACACTGTAAAAGAGTCAGCCGTGAAACTTTCCCACCTGGAAAATGATAGGGAGTTTCGAAGTTGAAAGTTGCCAGTTCTGAATATCTTGACTCTTCTCATTTCCCTCTGTGCCCACATTCAGATTATACCTGTTTACCAAGTGTCCCTCCCAAGACTGATGCTTTCATCGCTTTCAAGTACACACTGCCCTGCAGAAACCAGTCACCCCATCCACGGAGTTAGTCTGACCTCTTCAAAATATAATCTATTACCTCGAAATGGTTTGAATTTGTTCTCCAGGTCAAATTCTTGTCTTCCTAGTCGAGACAGGTCGATTCGAAGATCAGGACATATCGCATATTCCTCAATTGTTTTGCTGATCTGATAGATTTTGTCTGAGACAACGTCTGGTGCAGGACCTAAAATTTGAAAATAATGCATCACCAAAAATAAATTCATTTAAAATTCCCATCAGGGAAATGTTACCTCCTCCTTCATTTGTTCTCTAAACAACAGACAACAGTTCACGGTTCAATTCTTCCTATGCTGTGCACATCCACTGTGGGGGAAATTTAGTCAGCCTCACCTGTTCTGTGGAGGCGCATAACCTACATGTTTGTTTGAATCCACTCCTAAGCAATGATACGTCTTCCCTAAAAATAGTTTCACACCTGCCAGGGAGGCCCGGTTATGTAATCAGCTTTATTCAGGATATGAGACACAAACAGGATATGCATTTGACAGAAGTGAAGGATTCCAGATTTAAACTGCAGCTTCCCAAGTGCACTCAGAGGGAAAAAATATGATTTCTACTCCCAGGTCTGTTGCCTCATCAATGTGTGAATTTACCAGGGTAAATTATTTTCCCCAACTCATGCTCTCCAGTGACTCCCAAGTCTTTAAATGAGGTTTAACTAAAATATCTAACACATTTCCTTGAAAGGTCAAGTTGACAAATAAGTTGTAATACACTTTAAATGAATTGAACATAAAAATAATAATGTCCTCCTTTAGTTTTTCTTGTCTTTTTAACTTTTATATCTTAATGCAAGCAAGTTCACATTTTTTGCAACAAGTGTGGGAATCAAATAACTGAAATATAAATGATTCCCTTATGGAATCTAGGTTCTAAATGTGCTCTACAATGCATTCTGTGACACTGGTTATGTTTTTAAAAACCATTTTATTCCTCAGTCACTTCCTTGGGTTGTTACGAGGATTGAATAAGATAATGTATGTAAAGTTCTAGGTATAGAGACTGGCATATTGTAAGTATTCAAAAAAAAGATCAGCATTGTTATTATTGATTCCATTTATCTCTAGCATCTTCCCCTCTACTTAAAAACATGCTCAGAATGGTCCTGTTCTCTAAATATATTTTAAAAGCAACATAGCTCCAAATGTGTCCCATTTCCCTTGATATGCTACTAATTTTATATATTTAGCCTTTTAACTTATTCCATACCATGTATCTGTATAACACACAATAGAAGAGATGAATGCCTGCAACTTCAGATGAAGGATTTCATGGTAAAACTTATTCTACTTTGAGTAGGAAAAAAACAAGTGAATCGCTCTATGCCATCAGGAATGTTAGTTTCATTAATGATGCCGAGACATGCAAACATGAAGAATTAAATGTAAGAGGAAGGTCTTTCAACATAAAGGTTAAATGATTAAGTTCAACCCCCTTCCCCTATTCAAGGTTTCACTAAATAGGTCTCATACCCTCCTGTAATTTAGTCTACAAAACGGGTATTTAAATAATATCTTCTCCCTTTATGCCTCACAGAATATCACAGAGATGACTTAGATACTCTTATGAGATATGAAGTCAGATATTAATTCCAAGTGCTTACTTGGAATCTATAGCTTAGTTTGGCAACTTATACATTTCTCTACAAATTGCCATTTGCTGAGCCCATTGAATGTCCTATGGACTCATGTAAGAAATATCTCACATTGCATAGTTTTCCCTGAAATATTCAGTAGATGCTGCAAGACTTGCTTATAAGTCCAAGGTGTGCTTTTTAGTGAAGAGGAGCTCCTCTAAAAATACTTTCAAAGACAAAGCACTTCATAAGGTGTGGGTTTTTTTTAATGCTTGACATCTTTGTGTGAATACTGTCCAAAATGGCTGTAAGGAGGGGAAGATAGTGTATGCTCCCTTCAGGATGCGCTACTTTGGATGGAGTCAGGAAAAACTCACAATGGTAACTGTCTTTGATTAAAATCCAGCTCCCACCCATGTATGCACCCAGACTCAGTGTCCTAGATTAAGAGAGATTTAAGAGACTTAACAGTCAAATACAATGCATGGTTCTGGGATAAATCCTGGTTTACACAAAATAGCTATAAATGACATTTTGGGGACAACTGGAAAATTTTTAATATAGTTTAAGTTTTAGATGATATTAGAGAATTCGTGTTATTTTGGTTGGGTGTGATAATGTAGTTATATAGAAGTATACCTCTTTCTTTTTAAGAGATGCATTCAGAAATATTTAGATGTGAAATGTCTTCATGCTGTAATTTGCCTTAAAATTCTTTGGGAGGAAAAGAGGGAAGCAAAACAGAAAACAAAGTAATGGATACATGGCATTCATCTGTTATTCTCCCTGCCTTATGTACGTTCAAATTTTTTTTAGTTCACCCCTATCTACATATTCCACCTACCAGGACCTCCAAACTATAAATTTCTGTAAGTACAAGAAAAAGCAACATAACTCTAAGCATTTCAGTGAGAAAAAGTCAACCCTATAGGAAAGACAAGAGTCTAGGGCTTATGCAGAAAAGTCATTTGTCTGCCCCTGAGCAGTCATGTGACCTGAGCAAGTAACAGCCTCTAGGGCTTTGATTTGTTCTTGTGTAAAGGGATAATAACGGTCTAGCTGACTTGGAGGGTATGTTCCAACTTCAAAATTCAGAGTCCTTCCATACCAGATAAGCACCAACTATTCAACTGTCTCACTGCACTGAGGAGTTCAGGGGAACAAGAGACCAAGTGGGTTCAAGATCCCATTATGCCACTTCCTTGCCCTGTCACCTTGGGCACTGTGAGAGTTAATTTTATATGTCCGTTTGACTGGGCCACAGAGAGCCCAGAGGTTTGCTTAAATGTTATTCTGGGTGTGTCTGTAAGATGTTTCTTGATGAGATTAACATTTGAATCAGTAGACAAGAGAAGCAGATTGCACTCCCCAAGGTGGGTTGGGCTTCATCCAATCCACTGCAGGCCTGGACAGAACAAAAATACTGAGTAAGGGAGAATTAGCTCTCTCCATCTGTCCTTAAGCTGACATTCATTCTCGACGCCTTCAGACCCAACTCAGACTGGAACTTATACCATCAGCTCTGCTGCTTCTCAGGCCTTCCGACTCCGATCAGAACAATTCCATCAGCTTCCTGAGTCTCCGTCTTGCTGACCACAGATCTTAGGATTCTCAGCCTCCATAATCACGTGAGCCAATTCCTCAAAATAAATCTCTTTGTATCCTATTGGTTCTGTTTCTCTGGAGAATCCTAATACAGGCACCTCACTAGATTTTTCTGAGCTACTTCCTCTCCACCCTCTTTGTCTACCGTCAGGGGGTCATGTGATAAAATAAGAGGAAAGAAATCATGATGATTAAGGCATATTCTTAACTACATACCTCCATTGGCAACATTAAACTTCACTCCAAACTCTCCCCCTGGTCCTCCAGGGCAGTGGCTGGCTGTCAGGATGATTCCACCAGCTGCCTTGATCTTTCTGATAATGCAGGAAACAGCAGGTGTCGACAAGATGCCATTCTGTCCAATAATCAGTCGTCCAATCTAGACAAGCCAGGGGGGAAAAAATCAATTATTTTACATGGGATTGGAGTGCATTTCAACAGGAAAGTGTCCCAGGATTTGTTAACACACAGTACATCACTTGACAAAAGGAAGTGAGTGGACAGGGGTGAAGGGAGAAGGGGGAGAGGGCAGAGTTTGGGCATTGTCTCTTCTGCCCAATGTCTCCAAGACCATTTGGGACACCCACATCTAGCAATCTATTATTAACCTATAAATTGGAACTGTCTTGTTGACCTTCAGTAGTTTGAAACATCTGCTTTTGATGACCAAAGGGTTAGCTCGAATCACACAAGAAAGTCTTAGTTACTGGCTCCAGAACTGCACATTAACATGCTAGAAATTACAAGAAAAAAAGAAATGGAGCAATTCTATGCTTCACTCCTTCCTCTGCCTCAGTACACAGGCGTGGGCCTGACTTATACAACCTTGTTGTCAGTGGGCATATTTTAATTGTACCTGGAATGACCACTCTCCTAAAGGCAGGAATTCAATGCCTGCCACTAAGTGACAGCATATGCTGGGGACACTGGAGAAACTACCCAAGTGTCAGAGGTCTTTAAGTCATCCATTAGTGTGGCCATACTCTTTTCATAACTACAAAACTGACTTTTAAAAAAGAAACAATACAGTCTTGCAGAGCATTACTTGGTATGCTTGGTTTTAAAATAGGACCCAGTGTCATCCAATCCAGTAGTTCTCAAGTGTTGCTACAAATTAGAATAACCAGTGAAGCCTAGAAAATTCACCATACTCAGACTGCATCCCAAGCTAATTATATGAGAATCTTGGGGGGGGGCGAGGCATTTGTAGTTTTTAAGGCTCCACAGGTGATTCCAATGCTCAGCCAAGCTCGGTGATCAAACTCCCTCATCACTCTTAGGACCAGCAGCATGAGTATCACCTATGTGCTTGGTAGAAATGCAGAACTTCAAGGCCCACCCAAGACTACTGAATAAGTGTCAGTATCTTAACAAGATCCCCTTTCCTCTTTCCAGATAATTCATTTGTTCATTAAAGTTTGAGAAATATTGATGTACTAGAATCCTGCTCAACAGCAGTTACCCTGGCACCAAAGTAGCATTACTAGAGGTAGGTCATTGACCAAATATGATAGTGAGGGAAGATACAGAAAAATATACACTATAGAGAGCAAACACAAGAGCTCCAAAAACAAAGCTCTTGAGATGACCTAGTATGGAAAGACCCACACACCACAACATCCCCTGAGTATATTTTCAAGTGGATAGGGCAGATTATAAACAAATAAAAGGAATAATAATAATAGTAATAATAATAATAACAGAAACTATGTGGCTACATAGTAGGAAGGAAGTCAGCAGGATTCTATGACAGAGAATAATGGATGTCAATTTTAATAATAACAATAACAACAATAGTAATAATAGCTAAGGAAGCTTGGATTTTATTCTAAATACAATAGCAATCCATCAAAGGGTATTAAGTGATCTGACATCATTTACATTTTAGAAGATCACACACTGNCTTAATAATAAAAATAACAACAATAGTAATAGCTAAGGAAGCTTGGATTTTATTCTAAATACAATAGCAATCCATCAAAGGGTATTAAGTGATCTGACATCATTTACATTTTAGAAGATCACACACTGAACAATTCAGATGAGCTTGTTAAAAAGCAAGTCGTATCTTGTCAGCGGAATACTCCCATGACTTTCCTTGTCCCCCAGCAACCCAAGGAAAAGCCAAAGTCTTCATCAGAACTCCAAGGCCCTACATGATCTGACCCCCGTGGCCTACCAGTTCCCTCCCTCTCTCTGCTTCAGCTGCACTGGCTGCTTTGCTGTTCCTCAAATACACCAAGCATGATCAGGGCCTTTCCATTTGCTCTTTCCTCTGCTTAGAGCACTCACCCAGGTGTTCATATGCTGCCTCTCCGGTCGTTTGGGTTTCTTTTCCAAAGTCAACTAGTCAGACATAGCGCCACTGACAGTCCTATATAACACAGCACCCATTAGTCCTTAATTTCCCTATTGTGCTCTGTTTCCTCTACCCTGCTTTAATCTTCTGTATTGCAAATACTACCACATTATTTCTTTTCCCATTATATATAAACTCTAAGAAATTTGTGTATTCACTGCTATATTTTGAGATTCTAAAACAAACTTAGCATGTAAATACATGATAAATATATGTTGAATGAATTGAAAAAAATGAATGAATGATGAATGAGTGGTTGCTATGTGAAAAATGCATTAGAGAGTGACAAGAGCAGAGGGGAAAGATCAGATGAAAGGCTGCTGCAGCAGAACTGAGTGTGAATAATGTCTTGGATTAGGCTAGAGGCAAAGGAAATGAAGAGGAGTGATTCTATTTTAGGTATATTTTTGGAAGGAGAATGAACAGAAGATGTATGTGGAATGAAATATGAAAGAAAGGAGCTATGGTAGCCACCCTCCAAAATGGCTCAAAATGACCCTTGCTTCTGGCATTCATGCCTCTGGGCAGTCCCCTCCCACACTGAATGAGGCAGATCTGGGTGATTGGACCATTGGAGTGAGAGTGTGTGACTTCCAAGGTGAGGCCACAAATGCCACTTCTGCCTTGCTCTCTTGGAGTGTGCCCTCTGGAAGATACCAGTCAGCATGTCATGAAGACACCACTCAAAGAGTTCTGTGTCAGCACCTGTATGGAGAGGAACTGAGACCTCCCACCAACAGCTGGTGCCAACTTGCCAGCCGGGAAGGTGAGCCATCTTGCAGTGTATCTTCCAGCCCCAGTGAAGCCTTCATATGACAAAACCCCCACCAAGATACGACTGTGACCTCATTAGAGTTCCCAAGCCAGAACCCACCTTCTGTCTCTCAGAAACTGTAAAAAATAATAAATATTTGTTGTTTTAAGCCACTAAATTTTATGGTAATTTTTTGCACAGCTTTCTACCTTTAAAACTTGATGAATGGTGGTGCCATTTATCAAGACAGGAAAGACATAGGGCAATAATTACACTCATATTATTATCCAGAGCCGTGATAAATTATGTTCTACATGCTCTTGTTAAAATTTATTTGGTCTCTGAACTCATTTTATTGAGTACTGCACGCAATGTAGAAGACCTTGCGGGTAATGAATACAATTTAAGCACTTCCCTCAACGAATAAGTTTATAGATTCAAGAATCTGAAAAGTTATTGTAACTTGTGTTCATAGTTTTCTATCTATACCATTTTTAAGAATTATTTTTTTTTAATTCTATAATACATCATCTGTATATTATATTGTGTGTTCACCACCCCACGCCAAGTCTCTTTTCATCACCATTATTCACCCCTCACCCTCTTCTAACTCCCCTCACCCTTCTTTTTCTCTTGTAATCACCCTACTGTTGTCTGTGTCTATGGGTTTTATTTTTCTTTGCTTAATCCCTTCACCTTTTTCACCCAGCCCCCAAACCTCTTCCCCTCTGACAGCTGTCAGTCTGTTCTCTGTATCTATGAGTCTGTTTCTATTTGTTTGTTAGTTTATTTTGTCATTAGATTCCACATATAAGTGAGATCATATGGTACTTGTCTTTCTTTGACTATCTTATTTCACTTAGTATAATACTCTCCAGGTCCATCTATGCTGTTGCAAAAGGTAAGATTTCCTTTTTCACAGCCAAGTAGTATTCCATTATGGTGATTATCAGACAGAAAGGGGTGTGGGGGGAGGTAGAAAAGGTTAAAGGGGGGCGGACTTGGGGTGGTGAACATACAATATACAGATGATGTATTATAGAATTGTACACCTGAAACCTACATAATCTTATTAACCAATGTCGCCCCAATAAATTCAATTAAAAAATTAGCTTTGGTGGCTAAGTGTGTGCACTATGTATTTCAATTTATTTCAGCCCAACATGGGGCTGGGAGTCTGGCTTTCTCCCACAAACAACCCCCAAGGACTCCAGAGGGAATGGTACTGCTTGGTGTAGTGAGGTCAGTGCTCTTGTCAGGAAATGAAGTCACGGCTCTTGTCTGAGGAGATGCTCCGGGTAGGGGACCCAGAAGTGACCTCACTTCCTGGTGATGGAGCCCAACAGAACTTGGAGCCCTGGTAAGCAGGCAGCCACATTCTACAACAGACCCTTCCCACTTCGTTTTGATGCAGACATGGGAGAGGGCACCATGTTTTTGCAGGGAGAGCATGTTCCGAAGCAGCCGCCGTTGGTTCCGGACTCAGCGCAGACCTCTGTGNTGTCGTCTGCCCGTGTCCTGAGGCAGAGGCCCCAAGAGCAGCAGGGAGAGCATGTTCCGAAGCAGCCGCCGTTGGTTCCGGACTCAGCGCAGACCTCTGTGGCCCTTTTCACAGTTGGACCCAGAGGTAACACAGAGAGGCTCAGAACAGGTTTGCTCAGGCCACACCACCACTCTGACCCCACCTGAGCAGCCCCATGTCCCCTCCGTGTGTGTGTGTGTGTGTGTGTGTGTGTGTGTGTGTGTGTGTGTGTGGAGAGGGGGGTTCACGTGGGGAGGGCCTGCCCTGAGCAGAAACAGGCTGAGGAGGGGTCAGAAGCCTGATGGGCCTGTTATGTTCACTCCCCAGAGCAAGGCTGGCCGGGTGGCCATGGAGTGTGGGCAGCACCCTCTGTCTGAGGTTATTCCGGAGCCCTGGAGGCGAATCTCATTTCCCTGGGTGGAGGTCTGTGCAGACAAAGGGCTGGGCCTGATCTAGGAGCAGAAGTTCCAACGCGCAGAAGCAGCAGTGACTAGGGCCAAGCAGGGCNCAGGAGCAGAAGTTCCAACGGGCAGAAGCAGCAGGGACTAGGGCCAAGCAGGGCTTGAAGTCTCTGGACCTGCTGCAGGTCACTGTCATTGCAGAGCTCAGCCCAGGTCATGAAGGAGCAGCAGCTAGTCGATGAAGACCCCAGCCCCATCTCTACCAGTGAGGGGCAGCTGCACCGTCCTACTGAGGGCCAGAGCAGGCCCAAAGTGAATATGGCCACCTGGGGGTCTCTGGAACCAGGGCCTGTGGATGGCTGGCGATGGACCCCTCCCCCGAAGCTGCCCATGCCCCATGGGGAGCTCACAACATCTGCCTCCAGCCTGGAGCAGCCCGCCCATGTTAATCACAACAGGCTTCTGTTAGTCTCTGGTTGCTACCCAATGTTCCTGGGCTTGTGGCCACATCACTTCAGTCCCTGCCTATCTTCACATCACCTTCTCTGCGTGTCTTTTTTCTCCTCTTCTGTGAACTCTTGCTCTCTCAATTAGCCCAAGACAAATGTCAAGAGAAAAGGCATGGCTTTTGAAATCTAATAATTGATCAAAGAAATAGAATCTTTAGAAACCCTGTTGTATAAAGAAAAAGTACTCAACTCTAGCCAACGCTAGATAGGAANTATGGCTCTTTAGAAATCCTGTTGTATAAAGAAAAAGTACTCAACTCTAGCCAACGCTAGATAGGAACGTTGGCTCCCTGCCCCCCCTGACCTACGGCAGATCACCTCACTGCTCTGAAGCTTGCTATCTTCATCTCCAAAGTCAAGAGGACATAGGGTCATGAAAATTCAATTACGATGAGATTATATAAAGGGAAACTCTTTGTGAAATTAAACATGACACAAATTATGCCATTGCCTTCCCCAAATCCTCCCTCCCCCAACATTTAAAAATTCACTTTTAGACAGCAGATTATCTCTTAAACTGACACATCACTTTCTGAAAAAGTCCTAGCAATACTACCTTCCACCAATGTAGCAGACTGGAAAAGATGATCTACTTACATATATAATTGGCTTTGGTTTTGTCTACTTACATATATAAAAGGCAATATCTGACTTTATTCCTGAGTGAAACCCAGACCAGAGCCTGGGGATGTCCAACCCATGACATTCTGCTGCAGCCTCACTGACCTCCCAAGGGGGGCACTGGAGGAATCAACGCTCCCACACCACAAGGTCTGTCTTTGGCTGGAGGAAGGGGAACCCAACCCAGCCCTGCAAAAGGTACACTAAAGCCATGTGGGCGGGCTTTAGTGCCACTGGGGAACATGTCCTTCAGCTCCCACTAGGAAGAGGGGGGCCACTGTCACGCATACACGTGGAAGGCACAGAGATACAGATCCCAGGACCCACAGGTAGCCATGTGAACACTGTCACGCAGGTGCCTGCAGACACTTTCCCAGACACACAGCTAGAGACACAGCATGAACTTGTTCCTACCCAGCCATGACTTCTAAATGCTTGGGGAAGGGAGGAGAAAGGGGGAGCAGTGTGCCATCACCATCGTTCCTATGGTGCAGTTATTTATGCTTCTCTGGATCTATCCTTCTACCCTGATGCCAGTGACTTTTGTCAACCCTCAAGACTCACCTAGATTGTACCATTATTTGTTTCACCCATGAGTGGGCATAGCAGGTGCCGAGAGAATCAATATGCTCTCTACGTGCCACAGACCAGTGTCCTGAGAAAGAAAATTTTATTAAATAAAGCTTTCTCCCAGCACTTCCATTTCTTTATACCAGGTGCATATACAACTAATTTCGTTAATGATTTTATTTCTGATGGCTCCTTCTTTTCAGAATGCTACCAACTACTCTTCTAAATTAGATTTAGTATCAGGTCAGTTTTAATTAGCTCAAATTAAAATCCTAGGGAACAGCAATGTACAATTTAAACCCACAGGTTAGAATCTCAGAGTAGATGCAGAATTCCAGCTCCAAATGAGTTTTCCCCAGTAACGTAACACTAATGAAAACAGAATTGTTTTCATGTGTGAACTCCCTTAAATAAGACTTCCCCTTGATGATTTCCTTCTCACTTTAAATAAGTCATTTTTAAAAAGAGTCCCGAAGAGAGAAAAGAAAAAGCATGACATTCCTCAATGTCTTCCATTCGCTGTTTCATGTCCCCATAATTCCCAAAGTGAATCAGAGAGAGTGAAGAGAGCAATAAACAGAAACTTCCTTGATGATACACAGAGAGCATGTTGTACAGGACCACACAGCCACTGCCACGTCCATCCACAGAGTGCATGGAAAGCCACACACACAATGATGTCTGTTTCCTGTCTTCTCCGTTAAAAAAAAAAACACAACAAAAAACCCCACAAAGGCAGTCCAAAGCCAAGCTGCCATGGATGGCAGGGCTTCAGCCTTTCAGCCCCAGCTGTCAGAGAGGAGGGCCAGCCCGTAAGCAGTGCTGCACATGAGTAAGCAGGTGATGGCTAAGTGGAATTTTGAGAAATAACAAACTCAAGACGTGGATGTGGTTATCCAAACACCAGGGGACTTCTCCAGTTGCTCGTGGATAATTGTGCAGTTACATGCTTTCTTTGTTACATGGGGACCAGATGGGAGCAACCGAGCTCGTCCTCAGCTTTCTGTCCCCCTTGAAGTCTTTACGCACACACTCAGGGGCTGGAAGCAAGAGAGGAGAGTCCATTAGAACCAAACCAAGGTGGATTTCACACTCGATTCTTAACATCTGAACAAGTTCAGAAAATTCACAGGCGTCTAGAAGCTGGGCCAAAGTTCTGTTCCTCAATCAGTCCACCAATTCTCAAGACCTCATTGAAAGGACCAGGCAATGTGGCCTTCCTCGGGTGCCAAATGAGGGCGGTGGATTTGGAACTTAGGTTCTTCCTGGTGATAACATAACTCAGTCCTTGAAAAATGCTGAAATCTTTACCTTAAGGTACAGGGCTTGGCTCACTAAGACAAGAGCCCTGTTTCTGCCATCGCATGATGTGACCAACCCAACTGGGTACCAGGATGAGAACCATTGGATCTACCTGGGTCAAGGAGGCTGAGCTGAGCGCCCTGAGATAAGCTAGATTTTGGTATCCAGTGCGAAAGGGTGTCAAAACTGACTTTGCCACCTACTAGCTGTGTGGCTTCGGATAAACCCTCGGTATCTCAGTTTCGTTATCTAAAAGATCTGAATGATCACATGGTGGAAGGTGAGAGCCAATATAACCAAGCTCCAGTTCAGTGTTTGCACCCAATAAATTCTCAATACATTTCACTTGCATTCCTTGTTGGCGTCATTTCTTAATTCTTAATTATAAATTTCTTAATTCATAGTAATTGAATGAATTTGTTTTACTAACCTGTAATGGTTTTCTAATTACAAGAATATATATTTGTATGTTCCTTTTTTGAACATTTAGGAAATACACATAAATAAGAGGAAAATGAAAATCATCTGTAAACCTAAAAATGACCACTGTTAACATTTCTGTGTGCACCCTTTGTCTTTTGTCTGTTTTGGTCTCTCTCTCTCTCTCTCCCTCTCTCTCTCCCTCCCTCCCTTCCTTCCTCCCTCTTTCCCTTTCATTTACATATTTGTTTTTACCAAAAAAATTGTGTGACCTACATCTTTTACTTAATGTAACTAGCCCTTCCTTAAAGTCTGTCTGTCACTGAATATTCTTCCACAACAAGATTTTAGTAGCTATATGGTCTTCCATTATTTAAATGTACTATCATTTATTGACCAATAAAAAAGTGTTCTCTCACTTAAAGTTTTTATATGTGAAACTAAAAGAATGTTTGAGAACTAAACTCATACTGTGGAATAAATTAAACTGAATATAGTGTGCCAACAATTAAATTAAAAAAAGAAAAACTAGTTGTAATATGCCTGCATGGCTGTAATGTCTTCTTTCTTCTTTCACCACCAAAACTGATCACTAAGAAACTACTGAAGTCCATGGTAAGGAGTCACAGGACTATGTCTATGTCCTTGTTTGACCAGGATCTTCTGACATTGCCCCCATCTACGCCTCCGAATTGCACTGCCCACTGATATGTGCGATGCTGTCCTGCTAACTTACCCATGTTGTTGAACTCACTGCAGAAAGCTCCTTGCAACAGATACCTGCCAGGAATAGTAGGACTGATACTGCTTATTTCTTAGTATTGATCCATCCAACTCCAGCACCAGTTCTATTTATTATCATAGAAACATAGATCATTTGGGAACATTTAGTAACCTCCTTCAATTCTGTGCAGTCTTCAAACACTTCTGATATCTGGGACTCTATTCTATCTTCCTCTTGAATATATCCAGAGAAGAAGATATATCTCTTTGCGGGGGTGGGGGTGGGGGGTGTCCTAGGCACATGTGCATACAAATATGCTACTTGACAAACTACCTAAATTCTTAAGAATATTTTACATCTTACACCTTTATAGGTAGACAGAAATTTTATAATATAGCAGGTCCTGGAATAACATCATTTTGTTCAACATCATTTCATTATAACATTGATGAGACACCATAGGAACTTAACTCTTACTACATCAATTAGCCTATGGTAAATTGGTTTCATTATATGTCATTTCACTTAAAGTCACAGAACCTATTGATGATGTTAAACTAGGACTTACTGTATAATGATTATATTATATATACGTATATATTCCCAAAACAAAAACTCAGTATCTATGGAATCTCTGTAGATAGAAAATATATATATATATTCCAAGACAAAAAAAATCCGTCTCTCTTTATAGCTATGTGTTTTTCCATGAGTAGCTGTCACATCAATTAAAATACATTTATATGGATCTTTAAATAAATTCCAGCAGACCATTTTCTGTCTGACTGGGAAATACTTACCGCCCATTTGCTAAGTGCCTCCACCCCCTTATAGTATGTTCCAGTGAACTAAAGACCTCAGACTATCATAGATTTACAACTCAGCAAGATTAAACAATTTACTGTTATTTATTACAGCAAAGCTGGATCTTCTGTATTATATTCCACATTAGCATCTGTCACTTTACATTTGAGAGCTCCTGTCCAAAAAAGATTATGCCTCATAAGCAAACATTAGGCAGAGCAGCAGAAACAGGCGCCCTGACAAAGAGCCTGACAAAGTATTTTAAAGCATCACCAGCTCCTGCAGCTGTGCATTTCCAGACTACTCA